AAGCACTTCTCCCATTGCAAGAAAGATCAATCTAGTAGGCCAAACCAAACTAATAATTCAAAGAGACTTGCAAAGATAACCAATCATACATAAAAGAATTCAGAGAAGATTCAAATATTATTCATAGATAGACTTGATCATAAACCCACAATTCATCGGTCTCAACAGACACACGCAAAAAGAAGATTACATCGAATAGTTCTCCACAAGAGAGGGGAGAACATTGTATTGAGATCCAAAAAGAGAGAAGAAGCCATCTAGCTACTAACTATGGACCCGTAGGTCTGAGGTAAACTACTCACACTTCACCGGAGGGCTATGGTGTTGATGTAGAAGCCCTCCGTGATCGATGCCCCCTCCGGCGGAGCTCCGGAACAGGCCCCAAGATGGGATCTCGTGGATACAGAAAGTTACGGCGGTGGAATTAGGGTTTTGGCTCTGTATCTGACCCTTTAGTACCGAGTTGGAAGTATCTGCTCTTCCTTCCAACCATGCTTCCCGGCTATGTTTCGTCGTGACCAACATTCTGTATGCCGAGTGAACCGAGAAAATCCTGTTCGTCTCGTGTGTCCATGACCAAAAGTCCTCTATATGCCTGGTGCACAAAGGTATGGAGAGGATGGCCGCAGCATCAACTGGTAAGAACACCTCCTGGATAGTAGTCCGATCCCAGCTAGCATCCGGTAAGATCAACTCCCCTACAAGATGTGGAGGGTTTGGGATTCTTCTTGTGATCGGGCTCATGTTGTGAGGCCGAGGGAGCCAGTTGTGTTGCCAAATTTGTGTCGTTTGGCCATCACCAATGCGATGAACCAGGCCCTGTGTCATAGTGTCGCGCCCTTCGAGGATAGCTCGCCACACCTGCGAGGGTGCCGATCCAAGTTCAGCATGCAAAAAGTCACTCGAAGGGAAGTATTTGGCTCGCAAGATCCATGCACTGAGCGACGTAGAGTCTGTCAAAATTCTCCATGCTTGCCGAGCAAGTAAGGCTAGGTTGAAGAGCTCAATATCGTGAAACCCTAGTCTTCCACAAGCCTTGGGTCTGGTCATGGTGCTCCAAGACACCCAGCTTGGTTTTCTTTTTCCTTCCTTACTCCCCCACCAAAACTTGCGAATCAACGAGTTTAGGTGCTCACAAAGGCCACGAGGAAGCTTGAAACAAGACATGGAGAACACTGGAACTGCTTGTGCAACCGATTTTATAAGTATTTCCTTCCCTCCGACAGACAATATTTTCTCCATCCACCCCTTGATTTTATTCATCACACGGTCTTTGAGGAACTTGAAGGCGCCATTCTTACTGTTACCTACATCAGAGGGCAAACCCAAGTACCACTCCGGTAAGGATTCGTTAGTGATGTTCAAGGCACCCTTCACCTCCTGCTTCAAATTGTTAGGACACCCTTTGCTAAAAAATACTGAGGATTTAGACAAATTCACACATTGCCCTGACGCCATGCAGTAGCGATCAAGCAAGGATGACAACTCATTTGCTCCATCAACATTGGCCTTAACAAACAGCAAGCTATCATCGGCAAAAAGCAAGGGGCTTACCGGCGGGGCCGTTGGAGCTACTTGTATTCCTCTGAGGTGCGATGATTCATTTGTAGTTTTTAAGAGGCATGAAAGGCCCTCCGCTGCTATCAAGAACAAATATGGAGAAATGGGGTCCCCCTGACGGATCCCTCTTGAAGGCATGAATCCCTCAAGCTTTGTACCATTAAAAATGACAGAAAACTTTACCGAGCTCACCATTCTCATGACCAAAGCTACCCACGTTGGTGCACACCCCAGCTTGAGCATTATAGCTTCCAAATATTCCCACTCAACTCTGTCATATGCTTTCATCATGTCAAGCTTGACTGCGCAGAATCTGTTCCTTTGAGCCTTGTTTCTCTTCATGAAGTGCAAGCATTCATAAGCAGTAATAATATTAACTGTTATCAGCCTTCCCGGCACAAAAGCTGACTGCTCCTCGGATATGATTTCTGGCAGTATAACTTTGAGTCTGTTGGACAGAACCTTGGAAGCAATCTTGTACAACACATTACAGAGACTAATTGGCCTGAATTGAGTAAGCTGGGTTGGATCCTTTACCTTGGGTATTAAGACAAGTATGGTTTAATCACCTCCGGGCTTTCCTCACCCCGTAATATGCGCAGCACCACATCCGTCACTTCGGTCCCACACAGAGCCCAGTGCCTTTGGAAAAAGTGTGTCGGGTATCCATCAGGGCCTGGAGCTTTAGTGGGGTACATTTGGAATAATGTGGTTTTCACCTCCTCGGCCGTGTACGGTGCTAGCAGACCCTCATTCATATCTGGAGTCACCTTGGACGAGATAGACTAAAGTACTTCTTCAACCCCAGATGTGCCTTTCGCCGTAAACAGACTCTTATAAAAAGAGTTTGTCAGGCCCGCCATCTCAGAGGGATCATGCATTGTTGATCCATATCCCCTCGTCAGCATTTTGATTTGGTTCTTTCGGCATCTCATACTTGCTCTGCGCTAGAAGTACTTGGTGTTTTTGTCCCCGTCCTTGAGCCAGTCGACTCTCGATCTTTGCCGGTGTAAAATTTCCTCCATGTGATACAACTCCACAAGCTTATCAGAAATTTTGACCTCTGCATGTGAAGGCGCCACTCTCTGGGGGTCATTCTGCAAATTTCCCAGGTCTCTTCGTAGCTTTTTGATTTCTTTAGTGACTTGACCGATCGTCGCCCCACTCCACTGTGTCAAGGAGACCGACAGGTTCTGCAGCTTCTTATTTAAATCAGCGACCGTGCCAGCACCCGGCTCTCCTGTCCACAAATGATCAAGAGCCTCCTTGTACTCTGCATGCTTTTCCCAATACAACTCATATCTGAATATTTTCTTGTTGTTTTGCATGGTGGTCCGGGGCTCCAGCTGCAACCTGATCGACGCGTGATCCGATGTTGCTGTTGTCTCGTGGAAGAGCGTTGCATGGGGGAACAGTGCACTCCAGTCATTATTGACCACAGCGCGATCGAGGCGAACCCGGCAGTAGGCCCCTCCTGACGTTTTCTTTTCAAAAGTCCAAGGTCTCCCCTGGTAACCCAGATCCTTAAGCGCACACACATCCAGCGCATCTCTGAACCCGGCCATCTGAGCTTGCCTTCTTTGTCCCGGTCCAACATGCTCATGTGCATATAACACTTTGTTAAAATCACCCAGACACAACCAAGGTAAGGAGCCAAGGATTTTAGAGTATCCCAGGTTTTGTATCTTTCTCCCACTTGAGCTTCGCCATACACACACGTGAGACGCCAATCTGGGCTATTAAGTGAACTAACAGTGGCATCGATGTGGTACTCTGAATAACCTGAAATGTTTATTTTTATTGCATCATTCCAAAACAAACCAAGGCCACCACTACGGCCCGAGCTACCAACAGCATAAGAATGAGTGAACAATAATGTATCAGAAAGGTTCTCGACCCGTGCTTTAGAAATTTGAGTCTCCACTATGCATAGCACGGCTGGGGCAAATTGCTTCATTACGTCATGAAGCTCTCGAACTGTCGCGGCTTTGCCCGCACCGCGACAGTTCCAGCATAAGATATTCATTATGCCCAGCGATCCTCCTCGCGGGAGGTCGCCGATCTTGCATCGTTGGGTTTGTCGAGTGCTCCACCTTTCTTCATGGCAACTTTGTCAGAGTTCGTGCGATGTCTCTTCGGGTCTTGCTTTGGCGGAGGGCTTGCAGACACAGCCGAAGATGGAAGAGGAGGGGGGTCCTGCGAGGACTGCAACTGAACTGGCGTAGCATCGCCTTGGGGATCATCTGGAAGTCGTTTGCGATTGCCATCCGCTTCCTACAAAATCCAATCACGATCATTCATGTCATCCGACTCTTGTGCCTTGTTGTTTTCCCTCTCACCGCGACCAGAGCGGCCTCCACGTCGTCCTCCACGACGGCCCCTTCCACGACCCCCTCCTGGGCCAGTCCCGACATTCGTGCTCCAGGACGCCCTAAGGTCCTTGAAGTACAGAGCGGAAGGAGGACGGATGCCATCGCCATGCTCCTTGTACACATGCCCTAGGTGCCCGCAGACCGCGCACCAGTCGGGGAGGAGTTCGTATCTCACGCGGTATATCTGCCTTTTCCCGTCTCGGATCATGGACACAGCATTTTTTAGGGGCTTGTGTACATTGATCTTTACCCACACGCGGTAGAAGTTGCCAGCAAAATCTTGCGTGATTGGCTCCGAGAACAAGACTTCGTCAACCCTTGCTGCAAGTGGATTAACAAGATGTGCATACAGGTCCAGGACATCATGGATCTAAATCCATATATTGATGGTGTCTAGGGCGACTTCAGTGGGTTTTGTGATTCCATCATATGGCTCGATCACCACCGCATTACCTCTGAAATTCCACGGGCCATCCTGCATCACGCGTTCCCAGTCACCTAAACAGAAAAATTGCATAGTATAGAGGTTGTCCTCCAAAGGGCGAAACTTCACATCATGGGCCAAGTCCCAGGCAGCACGCATGTTCTTGAAGAATCAGTATTGACTGTACGGCTTGTCGATGTGAACCCTGGCCACCGCCATCCATCTCACAGCTGCTGGTGGCGCTTGCTTTTCATCAAAGACAACATCGTCGAGGTCCTCCTCACGAAGCCCTAACTCAGCCATCATCTTCTCCACCTCCGATGCGGTGTTTGACCCAGACGCCTTATCCGCCTTGGATCTCATCCCGCAGCCAATCTTGAACCCTAGTCCGAAAAACAGATCGGACCTTGCGAACCAACTCTAACTCTCCTCTCACCCCTAGGTGTCGATCAAGGCCGAGCAGCGATACCAGATCGCCCCGTGATCAGCCCGAACCAACAACCGAGGGGGATCGGAGGAGGGAAGCAAAGATCTCGACGGCGGCGATAAAATCGCCTCCGGGAGGAAAAACCCTAGCGAGAGGGTGTTCTTGATTCATTCATGAACTCTAGTTTTGCACGTTGCTTGCTGGGCCTAGTCCTGTTTCATGATCCCACTCGAACGGGCCTCGCGACGAGCCGGAGGCCCACCCGCCTTGGCGTGGTCAGCCCGGGCGCGTCCGACATGTCGAGCTCCTCCGGCGCCATGCCGTCCGGCAGCTCCCAGTCGAACAGGCGCACCAGGTTGGCGAGCGCGAGCTCCACGGTCGCCAGCCCGAACTGCATCCCGGGGCAGATCCTCCGCCCGGCCCCGAAGGGTATGAACTCGAAGTGCCCGCCCCTGAAGTCCACCTCGCTCTCCAAGAACCTGAACAGACGGAACGGCTAAGAAAATTGACACTTCTGACGGAATACAGTGCCGAGGTTGCTCACCTTTCGGGGAGGAATTCTTCGGGCGCGTGCCAGGAGCCTGGGTCGCGGTTGATGGCCCAGGCGTTGACGAACACCCGCGTGCCCTCGGCGACGTGGTAGCCCAGCACGGCGGCGTCCTGCATGCAGTCGCGGGGCAGGAGCAGCGGCACCGGCGGGTGGAGGCGGAGCGTCTCCTTCACGACCGCCTTCAGGTAGGGCGCCGTGGCCGCGCCGAGCGCGTCGGCCTTGGCGATGCCGCCGGCCGATGCGGCGGCGGCGGCGCTGCGCACCTCCTGCTGTAGCCTCCGCATCGCCGCGGGGTTCCTCATCAGCTCCGACATGGCCCATTCCAGCGCGATGTATGTCGTTTCCGTTCCCGCCGCGAACATGTCCTGCAGCGCGTGAGCGAAATCCATAACCACATCGTAGATGATGTGTGGCACAACCATCCTGAATGTTCCCCACCGCTGGAATATGCAGCTCAGCGGCGTGAAATGCTGCTCTGGACCGGGCTCCGGGCAGCATGTGCTCAAGAGCTCCAAATTCGAGCCAAGGCTAAGGGTGTTTGTTTTTAGGGACTTATTGGTTTAGGGACTTAAAAAGGTCCTTATAAGTTCCATCTAAACCAAACAGGAAAACTTATAGGGACTTAAAGTGGGTATTTGAAACTTATGAAATAAGACTATCAAGGAGGGACTTATAGTTGTAATATAGTCTTTTAGTTCATGTTAAGTCCAAGGAACCAAATAGATAGAAACTTTTTAGGGACTTGAGATTTATATGTTGGGACTCAAAAAGTGTTAGGACTTATGAACCAAACATGACCTAAATAAAGGTGTCTGAGTTCAGAGTTCTGTCATAGGTTCCAGTTTACCATGGGCTGAATATTTTTTGAAGAAATTGTTAGGGTGCAGGTAACTTTGCTGTTACTGTACTAATTATCAGTTACCTGAAATTTCTTTGGCCATCAGTCAAATATATGACCCTCCATGATCCATCCGTTGCTTTGGATTCGGCAAGACGGCAACTGTTGCACGGCCTGCACAGGCCCGTCGCATACTGTTGCACGGCGAACACCTAGCATCAATGGCGGCATCTTCTGCTGCAAGAGGCAACCGTCGCCGATGCTTGCGGGTGGAGCTGCGACGAGTCTGTCTACTCGGTCGTCATTGCTGGAGGTGACCGCAACACGATTCATGTTGCAATCAATGACCAAAAGCTCATGTCGCGCAAACCAGAGGTGACCACAACATGGCCCGTGTTGTAATGAGTGACCGCAACATGGGTCTAGTTGCAACAGTGACCAAAAGTCCATGCTGGAGATGACCACAACGTGGTCCATGTTACAATAGACGACCGTGACATGGTCCATGTTGCAATGATCCGATAGGCTATACGGAACATATCAAATGGCTAGCAAGTGACACTTAGCGTCATTCTAAATGTAAAGTGCGGAAAGAAACTTACATCTAAGTCTAAATAAGATGAGGCGAAGGCAAATTGGATGAAATTATTGATGGAGCTTGTGAAACTGATCGTGCTAGTGAAACTGTTATGGAATTCCTCCTACACTTGTGAGAGCAAGACTACCATGGGCCTCTAGAATACGTGTGAGATGATCGTCATTACTATTTTGTATTTGTGGTGGGAAAATGGTGCGGAAGGAGAAGATTCAAGATGCTACCCAAATTTTCATGGGCGCCGCTATGCATCGGCCGGCGAATGTATTGGAAACATCCGCCGCAAAGTGCTTCATTCGATCAGCGCCCTGACAGCTGTCGGATCTGACCATCGTTCACGCGTGACCACCTCTTCCTGCAACAACCCCTCTGTTTCGGAAACAGATTCCCCTGTCTGTCATCCTAACACAGCTTTGCCTAGCGCGACGCTTCTTTGACGTTTTCCTGCAACCGGAATTGTGTTTCTGAAACAAGCGTCATGTTGCAATGTTTGACCACTCCTTCTCTAACGTCGGGCGCTCCTACGGCGTTGCAACTCAGGCTATGTTACTGAAGCAAGACCCTTGTTACAGAAAAAAAAACCTTCATGACCGAAACATTTCTTTTCTTTCTGAAATAAAAGACATGTTGCAGAAATCTTTTGAAACAAGTCCCCAGTTGCAGAAAAAAAACCTTCACCACTGAATTATTTTTTCTTTCTTTCCAAAACTAGTCCCGTGTTGCAGAAATCTACTGAAACAAGACCATGCAAGAAAAAGAAAAAGACTGGCCGCGCGGGCTCCTGCAACTTTAAGTTTATCATAAGCTATGAGTTTCAGAGAAAATCACAGGGAATCCTAGAGAAACTATGAGCTTCAGAGAAAATCACAGAGAATCCTAGGGAAACAATGAGCTCCGGAAATTCGGAAATAATACAAAGATCATGCAGCTTCAAGTCCCTTTGCATGACATTACCAGTGCTGAAATTATGTAAAAAAAATCCTGCAACAGATCCAAATCCTGCAACCTAACTACACCGGCGACCACTCTCCAACAAACCAGCCATCTCCCTCCTAGTCGCACCGTTCTCGTCATCTCGGTGGTATGGATCTAGCCGCCCCGGGGAGAACCGCAATGAACACCTACAGAATCACTAGAAATGCGGGGGAAAGGGAGGGGAGATCTCAGATCCATACCTGCTGGAGTCGACGTCGGCCATCGCGCTGGATAGGCCCCGTCGCCCAACGCCCTGCGCCGCTAGCCCTACCGCCCTCCCAAATCCAGAAGCGTCGCCCTCCCAGTCGATGGAGCTGTCAGTTGCAAGAATGTTGGTTCTGAAACAAGGGTTCTGTTTCATAAAAACCGACGCGCGTGACGCGGAAGCAGGGACGCTCTCGTCCAGCCGATCAACAGATGATCCAACGGACAGGGAAACGGCGGACGCGGCGCGCGTGATCGGTCGGGTGAATGTAAGCTTTTCCCAATTTTCATGGGGATTCTTGCTCTCACGGCTAGTTATGTTTTTGCTTCCTCTCCAAATACTTGCATTGGGGGCTAGCGGGTGGATTCGCACACCTTTGGATTTTATGATGCTTAATTAATGTTGATGAATCTTTTGATCATGACTTGCGTAAGTCTACGACTGGGGCTGTCTTCAGGGATGAAAAAGAAAATTTCATTGCACATGGAAACTAGAGAGTTTTTTTTTTTGAGGGAAGGAAACTAGAGAGTATATTGGTGTGCGGATGTTCTGATCTTTGGCGCTCAGATTCGCAATGTCCCTTGCGCAAAGTATGAGGTGCAGTCGACTCTGATAAGAACAACTTACCGCCAATAGCGACTTGATGATGTCCCTGCTCAGCTCGAACCCGTCCTGCCCGTGCCCGTGCCCGTCCTCCCGCAGTGCCAGCAGCACGTCCACGAAGTCCTCCTCCTCCTCCATGCCGGCACCGCTCCTCGCCCCCTCGTGTTCAACGACCACCTTTTCCAGCAGCTCGTCCCACCGCCTGAAGTTCCTCCACGCCCTCGCGCCGCCGCCGGACAGCAGCGCGTCCGCCCACGCCAGCGCCGGGAAGTAGTCGCCGACGCAGAACCCGCCCAGCAGCGCCGTGTTCTCCTCGATCAGCTCCCTGAACAGCTCGCTCCTCCCTCCTCCTCCCTCCTCCTCTCTCGACAGCCTAGCCCCCGAGACCACCCGGCAGATCACGTCGTTCGCGAACCGGTACAGCGCCCCGCTCACGTCGACCACGGCGGCGGCGGAAGAAGAAGAAGAAGCGGCGCGGTCGGCGACGGCCTGGACGAGGGCGGCCACCTCCCGCTCTCGCATGGCGCTGTGGCGGCGCGACCGGGCGGCGCTGAGGACGTGCTCGGAGCAGAGCCGGCGGACGTGGCGCCAGTGCTCGCCGTGGGGCGCGAAGACGAGGTCCCGGAAGCCGTAGGTGAGGATCTCGGCGGTGCGGAAGTAGGGGCGCGTGGCGAAGGCGTGGTCGTGCGCCCGCATGAGCTCGGCGGCCGCGGCCGGGGAGGAGGCGACCAGCGCGGGGACCTGGCCGAGGCGGAGCCGCAGGAGGTCGGGCGCGCCGTGGGCGGCGGCGAGCGCGCGCAGGGCGCGGTGTGGGAGCGCGCCCACCTGGTGCAGGTTGCCGATGACGGGCAGGCCGCAAGGAGCCGGAGGGAGGCGCCGCGCATCGACCCCGCCGTCCTTCTTCCCGAGGCAGAGGAGGCCGGCGAGGAGGAAGGGGAGGAGCAGGAGCAGCGCGGCGAGCTCCATGGATGGTGTTTGACCCTTTCGACGAGCTCTGGAAGCTGACTGTTAATGGCGGTGGCGGTGACGGGCCGGCGGCAGTCAACGTCGCCTTCGCTTTCGGGAGTCGCTTGCTCCTAGTCCTAGGTTTGCAGTGACCTTGGATTGGAATCCTTTGTATATGCGTCTTCTTTTGGAGCTCTGGCACAGAGGATAGACAATGGAGTATGGACATTGTCGCCATTCGGAGGTCACTGAGAGTGGACTGGCATCTACTGCTTTGTAATGGATTACAAAATGTGCCAGATTAATCGATTGTTTAACGTCAAGGTGCGTCATCTGATGATGATAGGCCGACTAGGTTGACGAGAACGAAAAGAAAAGCCGCCGGTAGGTCAAGTTCTGAGCATGTGCTCATGAGAAGTCCTTTGGAATTATTATGGGTTACGTCAAGATCTAGCAATCCCATTTGGATCTGCAATGATGCAGCTGCATGGTTCTAGTTATATGTGCTCCCTCAGTCCCAAAATACGTTGAAGAAATGGATATATCTAGATGAATTTTAGTTCTAGATACATCCATTTTATCCATTTCTGCGACAAATAATTTCAGATGAATTTTAGTTCGAGATACATTCATTTTATCCATTTCTGCGACAAGTAATTCCGGAATACAGCAGTTCCAGAGAACGACCTCTGTGGCTCACTGCTTTATGTTCAAAAAATGGAAAGAAGGAAAATGTATGTTCAAAACTTGGGTCCTTGGCCATTCTAATTATCTTGCCCAGAGACGTATATATAGTATTAACCGATGTAAGCCCCAAACTTCTTCTGTACCAAAGTCTCAACAATTACAAGGGGCGCCCAGCCGTTTTACCTTCCCAGTCCTACAGTCAAAACCTAAGGAGTTCTATCCGACGAAAGAATGGAGATTCTTCCCTTCCCTTCCCAGGTATAAAGCATCGAGGCACCATGACTTGACCAATGTTGCCTTCAAGCGTCTCATGGGCTTGAACCCAGCTGCAACCATCACCAGGTCATGATGTCGAGCGGAACGATTCTGCGCCCCTCGATGATGACCTGAGCGGAATGCCATCGGCGGCAGACCTGAGAGGAATTCCTTCGGCGCCCCGGGGTGACCTGAGAGGAATCCCATCAGCAGCAGACCTGAGAGGAATTCCTTCAGATTCATACGCATCCTCGTCCGCGTGTTTCGGAATTCGGATAGGTAAATTCTGTTGGAGACCTGTCATGCCAACAAGGGATAATGAGAAATTACACATAGGTGTCATTTCAAGTGAAAGAAGAGGATGCTTAAAAAGGTCAGAAAGGGAGGAAATGTAGTCATACCATCCACCATGTCTTTTGTCTTGTGAAGCAGAAACGTCCCAGAAAGGATAGTAACAAAACCACACATTTCCGTGACAATTTGAGTCGGATTTTGACGATCCCAGTCCTGCATGCAGTTATAGTGAAACTAATAAATGATCCCCAGCATTTTCAGTGGAATCAAATAAATGATCGACTGATGCACCACTTGACAATCAGCTTAGCGGATAGAAGATGTGAGGTGTTATTATAATTCAGAAAATCATCATCGTTTAATAGATATTTCTAAATCATGTTGTCAGACATTCATACTTTATCCTATTTTGTCCTGTTGACATAACCACCTCATCCTCACAATGAAGGCAGGATTCCATGAGCATTGCAACTATAGTCCTGGCTCTTGACAACATAAGCTTACTAATTTGAGAATTTTCAAACACAATGATAGGCCGTCTAACCCTTACTATGAGTGGATCTGGTTCAAAGCCCTTACTATAACTGAATTTGGATATCAATCAGCCAGGCAACACCACAGCTAACAGGTTTACTGTAAAACAATCAGCCAGGTAAACTTGAGTGATTGTTGTAGTGATGGCTGCAAGGTTTACTGTGACAAGGCCAAAACCTGAGTGTTCTACGAAACACAAAGATTGCAAGGTTATGGATAGAATATTTTGACACGTGGTACAAAGAATAACTCAGAATTACTTCAATGCATACTAGTGCTAGAAGCTAACTCACTAAAGTACAGATTGACATCTACTCCCTCTGTTCCTAAATATAATAAGTATGTTTTAGCATTTTTCTGATTCGCGTGTATCTAGACCCATTTTAATGTGTATGTTCACCCACTACATTGAAATTATCTAAAACATTCCCAAAATAACTAAGATCCCTGGATCGATTTATTTAGTCAATATCGTTGTTTAAGACGGAGAGTAAAGCAAAGCTTGCTGACAATTACATAAGTATATGGAGCTCCAAAGCATTACCTTGAACATTATTACACTAGCCAAAATGGTCAACGAAGTAAACATTGTATAATAAATGGGCGAAACAACTGCAGTATTGAATGTGTCAAGGGCCTGCAGAAATAAACAATACCAAGCTGAACATAATGTATAACATAATACACACATATAAGATATCAAGTTATCAACATAGCAACAATGCTCTTCAGTCTATGCTACCTGTGGAAATTATTCTCTTAGAACACCCATAACTGCCAACGAACATAAACATCGATCATACCTTGTTCAGATAGTTCATCTGTGTTACTATGCATGCAACCACAACAAGTGTGAAGAACCATGTTTGTGGATAGACTAGCTGATTCATCCCTGCAAACGTCAGCTTCAAGGCTATCCCAAGAGCTTTGACACTCATGACCTGCCAAACCAAACAGAATAGACAGAAACATTAGAATCATGACGGAGTTTTTTTCTACCAACTATCTAAGGATTAAGTGAATACAAAACAAAAATTCATGAGGTGAAAAGCATACCGACAGAGACCCAAAAAGAGAACAGATACCAATATACACCATAATATGTGTCTGACCATACTGTGGGACAAAATGGAATATGAGCACGAAAGCTGCTGTGAGCACAATGGCTGCATAAAGTAGAAATCCTGCAACATAGAAGTTTAAGCCTTAGTATTGTTGATAAATAGTACTCCCTCCGATCCAAATAATGATTCACAGTACTATGCAAGCATATAGAATGCAGAATAAAACCTGGTTCGGTAGCAAGATCCCATACTTCTGCCACAGACTCAATTTCACGTTCCGCAGGGGCATGTAGCACAATTGTTGTCGAACCCACAACACAAAGAATACACCCGAGTACACCAAACATGTGCAGCTTCTCCCGCAAAATGATACGTGCAAGAACAGCACTGTAAGAGAACGTGCCAAAAGTATCAGAACTACTGAAATATAAGCAATACAAGATTTCAGTGTATCAAGTTGTAAATCATATCAAATTTAGTCCGTACCTAATAATTATGCTAAGTGCGCCAAGTGGAGTGACCAAGATAGCAGGGGCAAAAGCGTACGCAGCAAAGTTAGCGATTTCCCCAACAACCACTGGAAATTGTACATCGTTAGTACCACCACATACAGTAATGGAAGCAAAAGACTATGCCGGAACCAAATGTCTCTCCACTGTTTCAAAGGAAATACCTACTTGTTATCAGTCCTATCCACCACAGTGGCTCAAGCAGGTAAGAGTAGCCACCAACACCTGTTCAAATCAACAAAGTAAGCATAGACACTGGAAAAGGTTGAAATGTAGCTGGATGACAGAAGCAACATTTTCAGCACGACATTTGCACGATACGCCACAGATGAAACAAGGAAAATTTAACCTAGGACAGGGCATATGATCATCAACATATGCTGAATTTTATCATTGTTATTTTTGAAGAAAAAAGATATACACTGAAGGTTTAAGGGATTCAAGCTAACAGAAGGGAGTCTATTGCACACATTTTCCCGTTGCTTGCAACAAATAACATGAGTGAGTGAGAATTCATCTCCCTTGTACAGTCAATGACTGTCATATTTCCGAGACACGGATGCTGAACGTGACATTAAAGGTGCAGGAGCAAGGAAGAAATGCAAGGTACATCAAGCCATCAGCCCATCACCACCGTGTCATCTGTTGTGCTAATCATTGATATTGGTGGAACAACATCAAGCAAAGCTCAGGAACCGTCTCAATCGGAGCTCAACAACCAGCCCGATCCCCAATGCGCCTACTGCCCCAAAGTCCTACCTATCCAGGGTCCAGCACAGGCCCCCACCGACAGCGAAAGCGAGATCCGAATCTCGCGCGGCTCCGCGCGGATCTAGGCTAGAGACCCGGCCGGCAGCGCGGCGAGGCGGCGGCGGCACGGGGAAGGCACCGCGCTGCTCGCCAGGCAGCGTGAAAGGAGGCGGGAGCGTGCGGGGCGGAGAGAGAGGGGGGAGGGAAGAGAGGCACCTGCGCGGACGCCGGAGGCGCCGGCCTTCTTGAGGCCCTTCTTCTTGACGATGAAGCTGGCCCCGATGAAGAGGCTGGAGGAGACCGCGAGCAGCAGGCCCTTGATGTTGTCGGCCGACATCCCGGTGTAGGACACCACCCAGCTCCCCAGCCGCTCCCCGCGCATCTCGGAAACGCCGGCGACACCCTAGCCCGTCCTCCTCCTCCTCCCCCTCCTGCGGCGGCCGCGCATGCGAGATCTGGAGAGGCCGCTTCCCGGTCGGTGGGACTGGACTGGGATGGCTTGGCTTGGCTTTCCGCCGCTGTGCTGCTGCTCGGCTGCTTCTGGCCTATGTGAGCTCTACGCGGGGCGGGGGAGTGGGGAGGAGAGGGGAAGGTATCGCGCGCGGGCGGCAGAGGCCGCGGGACAAAAACCACCAAAAGACTGCGGCGACGACGTCGTCGAGAAGGAAGCGGGGGCGAGGGGGAGGGGAACGGGCGGGCGGTCAGTCAGCCAGTCCAGGAGGCGGGCGGGCGTGCGTGGCTCGTGCCGTGCGAGCGAGCTACTCGGTTTTTTGTCCGGAGCGTTGCTATACACACGATCCTTTTCAGCCGATGTTCGCACGATGTGGCAAATCCAACCATCCATGGGTATAACAAAGCAAAGCTTGCCCATCAGATTGTCCATCGTCTCAACGTCGGGCATTTAGTATCGTGCGTCCAGTAGTTCCGTTTTGTCCGCTGCGGGTGCTGCCGTGCTGTGCTGCGGTGTGGCTGGCAGCGGCCGACGGATGTGCGCCGCACGGCGTTTCTTGGGAGCCAAAACGCGACGGATTTCGCAGCTTCTGCTGCCCGGACGGACGGACGGACGGACGGACACGCGGTCCAGTTCGCTGCACGATTGATTTGCAAAGTAGACGTAAGGTTGGTTTGTGACGGCCCTAATGCGATTTGCTTTTCCGAGGAAAACACTTTCTTTGGCGCAACGGCGTACCGCAAATAGTTTGGTCACACGCGCCCTGTCATCTTGATTTGATCTGACACGTGTGTTAGAGCACCACTACAGGGACAACGTTTTGGGCTAGTGATTTTTCTTTAAAAGGCTAGTGTTCCACTGTCTTCTTCAATACTATGCGTACAAAAAAATGTTGCAGCACGCTTGCTCTTGCTCCTTTGAAACTGCGCCATGCATCTTGGTGACTAACTTCACTGATTTGATTTTCCAATTTATAGTACAACGGTTTGGCTCCATTCTTTAATCTTTTCACCTCCTGCCAATAGATCTTGGACTTTAATACATCCATTATAATTTCCTTTTATTTCCCTAATCGGCGCACACTTCTTTGCAGGTAAGTAAATTATCTTTACTGGAGATCAAGCTATTAGGCTATAGAGGAGAACAAATGTCATTCCCTCAAAAAAAAAAGAACAAATGTCATACATGCCATATTGTAACATCAAGTTTGTATAGGTTTGAAAAGTCAAAGTTCCTTTGAAAATTAAAGTATTTATGTGGTTTGTATATAAACAAGTCATTTTAACTAAAGACAATTTGGCAAAATGCGACTAGACACGATCTACAAGATGTAGTTTTTGTGCTCAGGATGAATCCATCAAACGCCTCTTTCTTGACTGCTCTTTGGCATAAAAATTGTGGCGGACGGTTCACATAGCCTTTAATATTACTCATCCGAATACTATCAGCACGTTATTTGGGACGCGGCTTGACGAGATAGATTCTTAAACAACAAGACACATTCGTGTAGGAGTATGTGATTTATTATGGGCAGTCTGGAACTGCAAAAATGATTTGGTGTTTAACAGAACAACAAACATTCATTTTTTGCAGGTTATTTTCCAAGCCACTGCGTTGATCCGTATGTGGTCGCTACTCACTCCGACGGAGGCCAGGGAGCGTATGGTTACTGGATCTATTTGATGGGAGATGGTAGCATGAGATATTTTCAATCGGTTTGTATGGCGGTTATGTAATAGAATAGACAATTAGTTTTCCTATCTTTCTTATGCCAGCCGGTTGTGTCTTTATTTTTCTTTCTCTGCTCTTTGTGAGCATTTTTCTTTCTTTTGTTTGAGACATGATGACTTGTGTTGAACCTTTTTGCTTATCAATAAGTATGGTTGATACGTCTTCAACGTATCTACTTTTCCAAATATTTTTGCCCTTGTTTCGGACTCTAACTTGCATGATTTGAATGAAACTAACCCGGACTGACGCTGTTTTTAGCAGAATTGCCATGGTGTTATTTTTGTGCAGAAATAAAAGTTTTCGGAATGACCTGAAAATCAACGAAGAATATTTTTGGAATATATAAAAAATACCGATGAAAGAATCAAGGCCAGGGGGCCACACCCCGTCCACGGGGGTGGGGGGTGCGCCTACCCCCTGGGCGCGCCCCCTGCCTCATGGGCCCCCTGGTGCTCCACCGACCTTAACTCCAACTCTATATATTCACGTTCAGGGAGAAAAAAATCAGAGAGAAGGATTCATCGTGTTTTACGATACAGAGCCACCGTCAAGCCCTAATCTCTCTCGGGAGGGCTGATCTGGAGTCCGTTCGGGCTCCAGAGAGGGGAATCCGTCGCCATCGTCACCATCAACCTTCCTCCATCACCAATTTCATGATGCTCACCGTCGTGCGTGAGTAATATCATTGTAGGCTTGCTGGACGGTGATGGGTTGGATTAGATTTATCATGTAATCGAGTTAGTTTTGTTAGGATTTGATCCCTAGTATCTACTATGTTCTGAGATTGATGTTGCTATGACTTTGCTATGCTTAATGCTTGTCACTAGGGCCCGAGTGACATGATTTCAAATCTGAACCTATTATGCTTTCATGAATATATGTGAGTTCTTGATCCTATCTTGCAAGTCTATAGTCACCTATTATGTGTTATGATCCGTTAACCCCGAAGTGACAATAATCGGGATACTTATCGGTGATGACCGTAGTTTGAGGAGTTCATGTATTCACTAAGTGTTAATGCTTTGTTTCGGTACTCTATTAAAAGTAGGCCTTAATATCCCTTAGTTTCCGATAGGCCCCCGCTGCCATGGGAGGGTAGGACAAAAGATGGCATGCGTGTTCTTTTCCATAAGCACGTATGACTATATTCAGAATACATGCCTACATTACATTGATGAACTGGAGCTAGTTTTGTGTCATCCTATGTTATAACCATTGCATGAGGAATCGCATCCGACATAATTATCCATCACTAATCCATTGCCTACGAGCTTTTCACATATTGATCTTTGCTTAATTAGTTTTCCGTTGCCACTGTTACAATCACTACAAAACTACTACCGTTATTTTTGCCACCATTACCGCTACCATCATATTACTTTGCTACTAAATACTTTGCTGCAGATATTAAGTCTTTGAGGTGCGGTTGAATTGACAACTTAACTATTAATACTTGAGAATATTTTTTGGCTCCCCTTGTGTCGAATCAATAAATTTGGGTTGAATACTCTATCCTCGAAAACTGTTGCGATCCCCTATACTTGTGGGTTATCAAGACTATTTTCAAGCGCCGTTGCCGGGGAGCATAGCTCTATTCTTTGCGTCACTTGGAATTTATATCTGCTGATCATTATGAAGAACTTGAAAGACAAAAGAACCAAGATTTTTCCCTCAACTATGAGGGGAGGTAAGGAACTGCCATCTAGCTCCGCACTTGATTCACCTTCTGTTTTGAGTAAACTTGCGACACCTACTCCTGCTATTCATTCCGATATGTCGCATGTTATTGATGATGCCACTTCTGCTTTGCATGATACTTATGATGAAACTAGTTCTATGCTTGATAATACTATGGCACTAGGTGAATTTCTTGATGAACAACTTGCTAGGGCTAGAGAGAATGAAATTATTGAAACTGATAATATTGATGAAAGTGATGATGAAGATTCTCCCCCTAGATATGAATTGCATGTTGTTCCCGAGGGTTATGTTATGGATGAAGAAACTGCTAGAGACTTCTTAGCTTGCAATGATAGATATGATCTTAAGAAATTATTAGCTAAGCTTAAAGAAAAGTCTTTGAATGCTAGAATGAAATATGACCCTGCTTTTGCTACTTCACCTATCTTTATTTCCGATAAGGATTATGATTTCTCTGTTGACCCTAAGTTAATTACTTTGGTTGAATCTAATCCTTTTTATGGCTATGAGTCTAAAACTGTTGTGGCACATCTTACTAAATTAAATGATATAGCCACCCTATTCACTAATGATGAGAAAACTCGCTCTTAATTTATCCTTAAGTTGTTTCCATTCTCATTAAAGTGTGATGCTAAAACATGGTTTAATTCTCTTGATCCTGATTGTGTGCATAGTCCCCAGGATATGATTTATTACTTCTCTGCTAAATATTTCCCTGCTCATAAGAAACAAGCTGCCTTAAGGGAAATATATAATTTTGTGCAAATTGAAGAAGAGAGTCTCCCACAAGCTTGGGGGAGGCTTCTCTAGTTACTTAATGCTTTGCCTGATCATCCTCTCAAGAAAAATGAAATACTTGATCGGACTAACCGATGCTTCCAGAGACCACCTGGATAGTTTTGCTGGTTGTGTTTTCAGGGAAAGAATTGTTGATAAAGTTGAATTGCTATTGACTAATATGTTGAGTAATGAAATGATTGGACACTTCCTGAACCAACTCCGAAGAAAAGGGGTATTCTGTTTCTCAGTCCTGAAGATATGCAAGAGGCAAAGAAAATCTATGAAAGAAAAAGGTATTAAAGCTGAATATGTTAAGAATTTACCACCTATTGAAGAAATACATGGTCTTGATAACCCGACACGGGTAGTAAAGGTAAATTCTCTCTATAGATTTGATAAATGTGAAATCCCATCTACTAAGTTTGCTAGCCAATGCTTGGATGAGTTTGATAATTTTATGGTTAAATAAAAAGACTTCAATGCTTATGTTGGTAGACAATTGAAACGTAATACTTATATGATTGAACACTTGAGTGATTATATGTCTAGAGTTAAAGGTGAACTTAAACTTATTAGTAAACATGCTTCTATGGTTACCACTCAAGTAGAACAAGTACTTAAAGCTCAGAATGATTTGCTCAATTAATTGAATAATAAGAAAAATGATAATATTGTTAGAGTTATGACTAGAGGGGGTAAAATGACTCAGAAACCTTTGT